TGGTAGGGAAAAGATGCTACTGCTTTTATTACGCAGCATGTTACTTGTTGGAACACAGCAAACTAATTAGATATTATGGGGAGAAAAAAAAAAAAATCACTGTAAGAACTGCCAAACACTGGAACAGGTTGCCTAGTAAGAGCACAGGATCTCCATCCTTGCGTATATTCAGAACTCCCCAGGACAAGATGCTGACCAATGTGACTTAGTCACCAACTTTGAATAAGGGGGATTGAAAAAGACGGCCTCCAGAGGTCCCTTGCGACCTATGACTTGGCATTTATTTTGTCATACATGTCTGCCCATGTGCTGTTGGTTGCCTGCCGCGAGTGCTATTGGTGGCTTAGGGTTCTGGGTATGTAAGAGAAATACCCGACTGACTTACAGCCTGCACAGGATTGAAGAGACATTCACAGCAAGACAGATGGTCAGCAATTATGTCTTCTTAAGGGTGTAACTAACACTAATTACTCAGACTTGTATTGTGAGGACTGCACTAACCTCCAGCCATCACTGGATAATATCATATCATAATATACCACCCACACTGGGAGAGGGGAACTAAGTCGACTGTTTTTACAGAGACTTTACTTCACAGATCCATGGTCCTTGACCCTCACTGACACATTACGATAAGGTCCTTGTATCTTGAAATTCAACCAACGCCACTCTACAACACCCCTTTTTGTTCCTACCTGAAATCATACTTATGGGATAGATTTTTTTATTTCATGCCTTGCTCTCACAGCTGCACTGGGGGAAGAAGCAAATTATTATGATCTCTCTTGAAGAAATGCTCAAAAGAAGTTATCTCTTGAATAGATTTCCCCACATGAGTGAAGTAGTTTATTTACTGGGGGCGGGGGGAAGACTTCCAAAAGAAGCCAAGTGTGGGTGATCAATCTGGTTTCCTATAGACACTTCACTGTGTTTGGATGCAAGACAGAAGGAGTGGAGCTGCCCAGGAATTTACTAAAAAAAAAAAAAAAAAAAATCCATTGAAATGTGCCTCTTAAAATAAAAAAAACAACTCAGTGATTTTTTCTGAATTTTTAATGCAGCAATTTGAAAGTTATTGCTATATGTATTATTGTGTCTATACATGTTACACACACAGAGTGCTCAGCGGAGTTCAACATGCACCAGCAAAACTTGTAGAAGCAGGAAGAGATTAAAGGCCTTCTTTAACAGTAGTTTCATTAAGTGATGAAGCAGAAATACCAATTGTCTAACCTCATCTGTTCCTTGCTGATTTCAGAAACATGACAAAAGACACAAAGTCATCTCCATGGTGACTGTTAGAGCTGGAGACAAAACCACTGAAAATGCAGGCAATGATATTTAATCTGACATTTATACCATTCACTAAAAACTTTGCTTGGTTTAACAATCAAAAATAAGACAGGCTTTGAAATTTGATAAGCAAAAAAAAAAAAAAAAAAGACTCCTGATTTCTCATGTTAGATATCAAGGTGGTGACACTTAAGACCTAAAATCTCCTATGCCCATTCACTTTCCTTATTATGCCTTACATGTTATTTTCCTACCAAATTTCCCACTGCAGATGTGAGGGACATAAGTTGAGTGAGAAGAGGTGAATGCACTGAAATATTAAAAAAGAAAAAAAAAATATAAATAATTAGAATAAGGAATACTGAGAAAAAGTAGAATTTACTTTTTTTTTCCCTTGTCCTACCCTGATGACCAAGAAAGAACTGATAGGAAGCATCTCCCCTGGCAAAGGGAGAACACACCTTAGCTAAGATAAAGAATGTCAGTATTCACAGTTTGAAGTCACTTTCTCACAGAAGAAACATCCCTGTTTGACTTTGCAATGGAGAAATATTTCTGTAGTCCAGCATGCTTTATTAACTTGAATTTGGAGGGAAGGGGGAAAGAAGGCTAATGCTGTGTTAATGCTATAGACTGCAAGATACCATCTTACCACTACCATGAGAAATTTGAATTTATAATTCAAGCATACCACTCTCAGCTTCCTTAAACACTACAACTACACATTGTTACTCATAGTGCAACAAACATCATTTTAAGTCTTACAGACCAGCAATTCTCAAACTAAAAAGCACAGAAAAGACATATTTTGCTACCGCCAACTTGTATCCTTTCTGCTCACTAGCACCATTACAGTTTTCAAATGTTAGAAGTGGGATTACCTGCACAAAACTGTTTGAGATGACTCAGCTTTCCAACAAAGGTAGAACAAGGAGCAGCAGCAAATCAAAGTCCCCAGAAACTATTTGTATGGTTTTGCCCTGAGCAGCACACAAAATGTACAGTAATTTCTATCCCTGCCCTGATGGACATTGTAATCCTCCAAGTCTAAAATTCACAGACCCTGCTTCCACCTCTGTTCATCCAGTCTTTAAAGGCATTCACTTCCACTGTCTCTTCCCTTACTCCTGTCGCATACATTTATTTGTACGTGCATAGTATGCCCTTCTCTGGCATACAAAGCTGGTAGGACAAGAGAGGTGAGCACATGGGATTGTGAGCGTATCCTCAGGTATCTAAGCACGTTCCTGCAAATGCGTATGATTACAGAATGCTTACATATTCAGCATCCACAAGATACACAGAGAGGAAGGGGAGTATCATCTAAAGGTTGATTATTACTGCACTCTTAGCTGAATATATACTTTATTCTTTCAGTCTGGCTTTCTGCAAGAAAATTTGTGAAAGTTCTTTTCCTCTACAGAAAGGCAACTGCTCATTCAATAGACAGATTTTATGAATTTGGTAACATCCCGTAGATTATTAATTGAATCACAGTGCATGAATATAGCACATATTCAGTAGATCTGAACACTGACTTAAAGATTTCCTCCATCCTCCCAGTTTTTCTGAGTGACATCTGTAATGAGCAATTAGAATTTCTTATACATGCACAGCTGACTGTTCAAAGCCAGATAAACTTAGCCATATACTTCAGTTTTCCTTTTCCCACAAAGCTGCATGTTAAAGTAAGTACATAAGTAATAAAGACAGAGTAGCTCTAAATTATTTTTTTTAAATAAGACCTACTGCCTTTATAAGTTATGGTCAATACAAAGCAATTTTGAAACTCTTCAAGCTTCAGAAAGATAAACATAATTCAGGATATTCTGAGTTAGGAGAAAAAAGTTTTTAAGACTTACTTAATATTATTGCTAGTTGTAAATATTCTGCCTCAAACAGCCAACCCAAGGCACACTCAAAAACAAACTTCTTCCAGTCCAGCATGTTAACACTGTATGAAACCTTACTGTTGCATTGCAAAGACTCAAATACCAACACTCCCTATCAGCACTACCAGATTTACCATAGGAAATAAGCCTACATTTGAAAAATACAGTATTTGTATGGATGATTACTGTCTGTCAGTATAATTTATAAACATTCATTTTGCTAATCTTACATAAGATCTTCACTATCAAAAGTAACCACTGAAAAATGCTGTTACAGTATGAATTTATTACCCCATTCCTTGTATTTTCCCCCCATGGGTGAAAACAAGCAAAAGGTAAATTAAAACTATACAAATTAGAGGCAAAACACAACTGCATTTCTTGGACATAAATTACTCCTTTTACTACAGCACAGCTACTCATAGCCTGTGGACTGTTACTTAAATGCAATGTTTTTCTTACTCTGAGCAGCACTTTAAGTGAAAATCAAAAGCAAGACACTGGGGAAGTGTGCCACACTCACAACCTTTAAAGTAAGTAAAATGCAGAAAAGCATAAGGACATAGTACCAGAAGTCTTACTGAACAGGGGAAAAACTCAATTCTGTTTTGGGCCCCTTTCAGAGAGCCACTCTTCCTTAACAGGTCAAAGCTCACTTAAGTCAACCTACCCACTGGATCCTCCAAATACTTTATGGGATTATCTATCTTTACACATCTTCCATTACCTCTAGCTAGCCCATGACATGTTTTACAACATCAGTCCCAAACTCTGAAAACAGTACCTCGCAAATCTTACCTAAAAAGGTTAACAGCATGATTAAGAAATAAATGTGCTTACTGTTCTTGAATCAGAGAAAGGATTGTATTCATCTAGCCCTGGAGGAACATTTCTTGTCACTTGTGTAACAGAAGGATCCTAGAAGAGAAAACAGTTCTGTAAATTTATGTACATGTATATAAGCAACAAGTCAACACATATCATTATATCATATAAAACTCGGCTTTTGTTTCAATCTAAAAAGGTTTGTTTTCACTAAAAAAGCCTGTAAACATCTACCTCAGTCTCCAAAATGACATCATTCCATTCTGAGCTTCTTATAAACTTAGATGAACACAGTCTAAAAGAAACTCCATCTGTCATACATTTGATTTATAAGGAAAAAAGCTCTCAATGGAGAAGGGAAGAAAACTGTATCCTGCTGTGTTGACCACTGGACTCCACAACTATACACCCAAAAAGCACAACAGAAGAAGAGAGCTTTCTCTAACTCTTGGTTCTCGCTACCCAGAAATACCTCCCACACCTTCAGGAAAAGGAAAAGCATTTCAGAAAAATGAAGCTGAGGAAACAGCGTCCCATAACGCCAAAAGCACCTCTGATTCAGCTTCTACCTGAACTGCTAAAATTAAGAAAAAAGTGTAATTTTTTCCTCCAATGAAGTATACAGTAAGAAAGACTATTTAGTCTTTCTTACCGAAAGGTAAGAATGAGATTTAGCTTGAGAAAGATTTCAGGAATGAAACATTTCTCTGTGCTAAAGACAGGCAGGCTTGGTTCTGCAGAAGAGCAGAAGTGCCCACTACCACAGACCACACTAACTTCGTATGAAGAAAAATTGTACTTATTCCATGTGATGCCTGTTCGACTATGTTGTTTCTGCACTTTAATGTAAGGTTTTTGCATCTTCAGAACATAAGAATGGATGAAAGGGAGGTTCTCGTGAAAATTAATAAATCCACTTATTCAATATGGTTAGTTACATTTATATTTACATAAATGCACAGAACAAGTGTACAGTATTTTATATGTACATGAAATATACAAAATAGCTGTAAATATACTATTTACTTATTTGTAACTGTTACGTATAGATATACATATTTTCTTAATTTCAGCAGTCTATTTCAACATCAGAAAACAAACTGGCATTGATAAAGACTGGGAAGAAGATAAGTATTTACATTTATATACATTTACATTCATATTTCCTTTAAAGACACCTACATTTAAAACCTCTACATGAAGTATTTGTCTAATTTTTAAAAAAACACAGGAAGTGACTTAATCTACACTTAAGTAAATATACAAACTATTAAGCTACTGAAAAATAAAACGTAGATTCTTAGAATCAGAATCTATTACAGCATTAGCTTAGTCTTGACAGCAGTAACAATCTACAGATGCAGGACAGTGTTTTCTTAATGGCTGCAGTCAACTTATTTACAGCTAGAAAAAAAAAAGAGCAGAATATCTACCAACTCTAAAATCCTGAAGGATACAGCAAATGAGAACGAGTTTTTTCCATTAGCTATAGTCACAAATTTATTAATAGGAGGCAATTAAAATTTTTTTTCCATAGGAAAAGTTTAAGACAAGAAAATCATTGCTTCAAAAATTAAGAAGTTATATGTTGCATATTTTAATCAAATTCATGTGCATAAGCATACATAAAAACCACCCTTCTGGTCACATAAAATGCTACCATTTTTGGCTAAAGCATACATTTACCTGCAAAAGCAGTATTTTAATGGTGACTGAACAAGAATCACCCTTTCTACAGATGTATACAAAACAATGCTACATACAATTCAAAATCAGCTTTCTTACATTTGACTTATACCATAATTTCAATAAAGCCACCCTGGTGACAGTCTCCCCCATAAGTCTGACATATTTTTAGTTACCATCCTAGACTTTAGTGCACTTTTCCAACTAAGATCTCATCAGGTCTTGCATAAACTGATGGACTAATTCATTGTAACGTTCTTTCATTAAATGACTGGCACAAAATATTATGCAGATGAACAACAAAAATGGGGGGGGGGAACGTTTGTTGTCAAAATTCAACTCCAAATCATTTGAAACACTGAATAAAAAGATCATAAAAAATAAGGGAAGAATTAAATCTAACATGTGACTTAGGCATTAGTTTACTAGACTTGTCAGTAAAAGATCAAAAAAGATTAACTTAAAACAAAGTTAATACCAATAAGACCATTTCATAATTAAATATACAGAATGGTAGAAAGCTCTATACAGCTGAAAACTTTTAACTTACTGTGGTGGGTCCACCATAGCCTGCAGCTAAGCCCCCACCTAGTTGCTCGCTCACTGCCCACCCCAGTGGGATGGGGGAGAGAATCAGAAGGGCAAAAGCAAGTAAAACTTGTGGCTGTTGAGAAAAAGACAGTTTAATATGGGGGGAAGAGAGAAAGAGAAAAAAAGGGGAAAAAAAGCAACAAAACCCCACAAGTGATGCAAAGGCAATCATTCACCACCTCCCACCAGCAGATAGATGTCCAGCCAGCCTCTGAGCAATGGTTACCTTGAAACACCCCCACTACCAGCATCACCAATGCCATTGTCGAGCATGATGCTACATGGTACGGAATATCTCTTCGGTCAGCTGGGGTCAGCTGTCCTGCCTGCATCCCCTTGCCCAATCCCAGCCTACTCCCAGGGGGAAGCAGAGTGCGAAACAGAGAAGGCCTTGATGCTCTGCAAGCACTGCTCAGTAACTGCTGAAACACTGGTGCCTTACCAGCAACTGTTTTGCTCACAAATTGCAAAACACAGCACCATAGGGACTGCTATAAAAAAAATAACTCCATCCTAGCCAGACCCAGTACACTTATTCTAGCCTTTACATGCTAGTGTGAATTAGCAGAGCATAAAATAACTCTATTCTTTGTTCTTGCTTTCAGTATGGTACCACTTCCACAAATGCCCTCAAATGTTCAAGTATAGACACATCTGAAACTAGTGATAGCTAAACATCAGCCACATAAAACAGTAGTTTTATGGTCAAGTTAAATTCAGCAGAGCAATCTATATTTAGAAATACAATACGCAAACAATAATAAATCTGATGAAAGACAGCCTTTTTACTCCAAATGTTTTAGATAAGACGGGGGGGGGGAAATGTTTCTCACATCTCTTCACATAGCTATTGTGGCATTCTAACATTGACAAACAACAGGAAACATATGCTGAGCCAAACAAGCTTACTACATCAGAAGTCTTAGTACTAGAAATAAGTTGTATGCTTAAATACACACAGTGAGTAGAGCAAGAAGCCCTCCATCAAAAGTCCATTCTCATTGTTAGTTAACAATTGCTATACTTCTGCCAAATATTGCTATTGTTTGCAAAAGTAGCAGCAGCTCTGAAAAAACCTGAATGACTCACAGGACATTCAATATCAGCTCTATTTAAGAAAAGTTTCATCACATAGTTAAAAAAAATTTAAAAGAATTATAGTTGTATTGAAATACACAAATTGAACCCCACCATGGCAAGCAGCATTCAAATTCTGCTCTCAGAAAACCTTAATTATACAGTCTGGACTTCAATAGAAGTTCATGGCCTGATCTCTTCCACAAGCAGAAAGACTTGAGGAGAAGTAAACCAGAGATCACAGGAAAAGAAGAGTAACCTCCTAGTTGAAGGAGGCAAGTACTACAGTGGAGATCCATACCTCCCCTATATTCATTCACTGTGGTCTTCTCTAATGCTAGAACTGTCCTCAGCATGGAAAGAAACAAGGTCTTCATAGTCTGGATGCCCAGGTGAAGGCTGCTAGACTTCAAATTGTTCTGAATACCTACAGTGCATCAAACAAGGAGTTGCACTTTGTATTTCAAAACGCTACTTACAGTATTTCTGAAGACATTAGACCCGACATCCCAAGGAACACAAGGAATTACTTTGAATCATTTACCTTATACTCATTGCATCTCATTTTAAAAATGGAGCAAATGCCAACTCGTCTGAACACAGTGAGAAAAACTGTGAAGCACTCACTGCTGCAGAATAATAAAACACTGAATTTAGAAGTTCATCGAGGTTTGAATAATGAACACAAACAATAAATGTTGTGCAGGACTACATACTCAAACAAAAAGTGGCCTTTAAATGAATGCTACCAAATTTCTATGTTGCATGACATATACACTCTAGTGGTTAAAAACAGCGAAAACTTTCATATTCTACAGGAAGAAGTAAATCTAGGCTGGCATAACTTATTTTTCCATATTTGATATTCCACAAAGATAATAAAATTAAAATGCATTAAATTTTAGTTATTCTGGGGTTTTAATATTAAGAAACAGAAAAAAGCCACAAAGACAAGTTCCAATAGGTGATAATATATGCACACCAACACAAAGCGGCAGCATGACTGGAACCATCAAATATCTTGAGATCTCAACTTGCTGCATGATTTCAGTCATTGAAAATTGGGTTACCCTCTGAAAATACAGAAGATTGGGAATTTCTGGGGCAGACTTTAAATATCTGATGTCAGCCATTGAACCTGATTTTCCTCAGCCACGCAGCCAGTCCCTGTCCCTGCTCCCTTAAGTGGTGATCCCTGTAATTCTCATCTTGTCCAACTCCTTGTTCCCTCCTTCCATTTCACACTTCCTTCCCCAGCCTTATCTCACCCAAACTCCTGCCGGTTCAGCCCCCTGAGTTTCTGATCTTTTTATTTGACTATTAGTGATCCCAGCCACAGAAAAGAATTTAAGAAGAGGCTATTTTTCATACTAAGGTACTGTAGCTATCGGTGCATTTAAGTCACACAGAGTCATTTCAGATGACATTTTCAAGATCTGAATGAGTTCAGGAGACTGGAATTTTAAGAAACCAGCACAACCTAATTAACTGTTTTCCATCTGATCTTTCATTTTACCTGCTTCTTGTAGTCTCTCTCCTATAACATGAATCTCAAAAGCAAACATTAGCATCACAGTCTTTCAATCACTAGCAGCCAGGTATAGGAAGCACCCCAGTATTTACATCAAGAATGGAAAAGTCAGTCAGAACAAAAAACAAAACCAACCACACAAAACAAACAGAAAACAAAACACGTTTATATTTCACATTGGCAAGGGCACCTATAGAACTATTAAAAATGTCTCCTGTGTCAGGTTAAATTATTCTGACATCAGATATAGATAAAATTAACTGAACACTCCGTTATCACAGTGTACAAACACAATTAATTACACATGAGAATGTTTAAAATGGAGCAGAATAATCCATTCTATGCAGGTTTTTACAGCTTTTTAAAAAACAAATTAAAGGGAATAGAGACCTCTGTTGTCTAGGAGACCAAAACTAGTCATGAGCTACCAGGTTTCATTAAAACAGAAGAAATTAGCAAAATAAAGGCTCAAGAAGTAAACACATCTGTTAATGATTCTTTGTGTTACTGTTCACTGGGAATGGGTCCAGCATTGTTCCACCATGAGTAAGATGCTTTGATAGCATACATAACCCAATAATATTATCAAAAACACCATCAGCTAAGTTTACATTGTTAGTTGTGATTTTGATTTCTTTTAAGTAAAGGGAAAGTAGTGAACTCATAGTAGGAATCGTCTCCTCCAAACTCTCCTTCAGGTTGTTAAAAACAGTTTTTACCTTTGAGGTACACCTACTCTTCTACCAAAAAGGCCAAAGCATTTATCTTATGCACAAATAATTTAACATGGAATGAAAGAGGAAAAAAAAACAGGCTAAAAATATAACAATGACAATATGTGCTTGTGTTGCCTTTTTTTCCCTAAGTGGAACTAAATAAGCGACATCCGTGCTCTGCACAGAACATTTAATTTACTTCAGTATTTTTCAGTTTGCTCTCAAGGACTAGCAGGGAAGCAAAAGCAAAATCTTACTGCAGAGGTCAAGAAACAGGGTTTATAAACACTCATTCTAAACACTGATTTGGACAGAGATTATAATGGTTTTACAACACATAATCAATTGAAAACAAGAATTTCAAATAAAAAACATATAACCTAAGTAGAACAAAGAAAACTGTTGGAAAGAGGAACAGGGGAAAATGTATAAGATACTTTTACAAGGAAAAGAACAGGGGGAACAAAGGTAACTACTAAGGAAATGGGATAATAAGGTAAATTTTTAACACTGATTGACGAGGGCAAGTAAGCAAGACAACTACGTATCTTCCAAGACTTGGGATACCAGGAGTATTGTACATCAAAAGAATTCAATAATCATTTTGTTTGGAAAAAGCATAAAACTGAAATGCTGCCCTTAGAAGTAACAGACTTTTTCTTTTCTTTCTTTTTTTTCTTTTTTAAATTTACATGGAATTCATAGGACAGCACCAAATACCTGAGTAAACCGACAGAAGTACACCTGGTCCTAGGAAAAAAAGACTAATGAGAAACAATATACTGTGAACATAAAAATGGATTTTAAAAGAAGAGGATTAACTATTTTTGGTGAATGAAATCAGAAAAAGGAAATACGGACAACACCTTATCAGTTACATAGCTCCCTAAATACAGCCAAGGGAAGAATAACTACTGAAGGCTACTGTAGAAATCTTCATTTTTGACCTTAGTTTTACGTTAAGTTCAAGGGCTAAGAATGATCTCTTAATGACTGGAGTAGTTGCAATCCAAGCCAGGAGAACAGTTCTCATCACAAAAACTCTCAGAAGATTAAGTCTCTTCATATTATGAGTACTTGACTGTATCAATCCTACCACCTCCCTCATCAGTCACGGACTACCCTTCAGCTCTGCCACCATAAAATTTTTCTCTCTCACTTCAAGATCCCCACAAGTAAGTTTATCCAGCCTAACTGCTTTACCAGTCACTGACATCAAACAGCCTTCACTTTGCCAGCTTCTTTGGCATTTACTGTTCCATAACCACCTTCAACTATCTATGCATTTTCCCTGTTGCTTTTTGTGCTTGGAAGTTCCCAGAAAGCAAAAGAGGCACAACCACAATCTTATCCTCCAAACTACTCAACATGCTCAGCAAAGACGTTACTCCTTAAAAAAAAACTCTGACTGTGTACAGAATAGAAGCAGAAGCCAGAGGTCTACCAGCACTGAATCCAGACTGGTGAATTCACCCTCGGGGAAATCATGACATTAGATCCACAGATCTAGCAAAGTGAATCCTGACCAACTAGAATTTCTCATCCACACCACTCCTACTGAAAGGCTTTTGTTTTGCTACATGAAAAGGATAAGCTCTTTTCATTTCAAGTTCAGTTCTCCATTGATTATCACAACTTATTCCCTATACGCACTTCATATTAGTCTTTTCTAAATGCGAGTAACACTAATTGTACACTTTTCAGCAAGAATTCACCCTGAGGTTTGATTTTCCTTTTTTTTATAGTAACAGTTGTACTTCCTGCTCTCTGCTGAGTACTTCCTAAGATCACACCACTGGCTCAGAAAATTAAGCAAAAATGCAGTGAAAAATGCCGGAAACTATGTTTGTTGGTCTGAGTTTTTTGATTCTTGATCAAAGAGAAAACTATCCATCCCACTTTTCATAAATGAGTTCTGGAGAGCAATCCAGGCTATTGCTGTTTCAGCTGAAACTCTCCATATGACATACTTTGCTTTCAGTATATCCTTATAAGCATTTTTGGGGAG